AAATGTAATAAACTGCAATATGTATCAGACACAGACCCAAAGGCGGTTTAATATGCTCGAAACTTAATCGATGTTTTATTTCGTTCTTAAGTTTATTATTCTGATATTCTGATTTAATAAAATCAACAAAAAAGCAATCACTATTTAACTGGGAATAAGCCACAATTAAAGGTTAAAGTACGTTTATTGACATTTCAATTTCGTCAATTGAAACGTCAATAAACGTACTTTAACCTTTAATTGTGGCTTATTCCCAGTTAAATAGTAATTAATTTAAAATGCCACAAGAAAATAGCTTCAGAACAATATCAACAAAAAAGCAATTATGATACGATGTTTTACTAAAATCTTTTTAATAACCATACGTTTATGATCATATGTTTATGAGAATTTGCTAGAGAGAGTGGGCTAGAGAGAATCTAGCACTCTTTCTCTCTGCGTAATTTGACATGAATTCATTAAAGCTTCGTCGCTGTTCATTTTGATCTCATGTTAAAGAGTTCGGGCTTTTTCTGTTTCATTTGAGCCAGCATAAAGGTGCAAGACGATTTGTGTGAAATACTTTTGGTTTACCTTTTGGCAGCTTCTTAATTCGGTATATTACGTCGTTTATTCTCTTTTTAATTTTATACGGACCTTCCCATTGTCTTTGCAATTTAGAAGTCAAGCCTCGACGACGTTGTGGATTATAAAGCCAAACTATGAAATGATCACCTACTTCATAGCTACTTCATTCTGTTACTGGCTAACTGGATGTATTGTCCGGCAAGCTCATGAATGTTGTTTATTCTTAACTTCAGGCGATCGACATAATCTTCGCTTGCAACATGTTCTTCGGAAGGTCTGCAGCCACACTATAGGTCGCAGAGCAAACGAACTTCACGACCTAACATCAGGCAGGTTGTAGTCTGGCCTGTAGTTTTATTCACGGCCGAGCGGTAGGTCATTAGGAATAAATGAATGTGCTGTCCCAATCTCTTTGATGTTCTAATAAAACTTTGGACAGCTGTTTAGCCATCGTACGGTTCATTCTCTCGACTATTTTATCTGATTGAGGATGCAGAGGTTTCGTTCTGGTCTTATTGACACCAATCAGTTTACAAACGTTTTGGAAAAGGGTTGACTTGAAGTTTCGCCCTTGGTCAGAATGGATCGCCATGGAAACACCAAATCGGTTAAAGAATTCTTTAACAAGTACCTCTGCAACTGTAGCAGCTACTTGATTTGGTATCGCATAGGCCTTAGTCCATTTCGTAGAATAATCCATGGCTACCAGGATATATTTATTTCCATCATTCGTCTCTGGAAATGGACCTGCAATGTCGATTGCTACTCTTTTCATAGGACTACAAACAGTCTACTGTTTCATGGGTGTCCTCTTTTTTCCGGCACTGTCTTCTTACATCATCTTTACAGTTCACCCAATAGAACCGTTCTCGAACTTTTTGCCAGAGTCTTCGTAACACCAAAGTGTCCACCTGATGCACCGTCATGCAACTGACGTAATACTTCTGACACTTTACTTTTAGGTACAATCAACTGAAGTTCATTTTCTGTACTATCATTGATCTCAAAGGTTCTATAAAGATCATCTTTTATCACTAGGCAATTCCATTGGCTCTACTAACACTTTACTTCGGACTACATGCACTAATGTCTTGTCAAGAAGGCGTTTGCCGCCATTGATCATTAATAAGGGTGGCGTGTCTCATGGAGTAAAGTCTTTCTTCTAATTCAAGACAATGATTACAATTTGCATGTATGGCCGTCTTGACTGAGGATCAGCATTTGAATGACTTTTTCCAGCCCAGTGTTCGATCTGTTCTAGCTTTCTGACTGTTGTATTATTTTCTTGCAATTCACGACGAATGTGACCTACTTCGTTACCATTCTAACATCTGGGTTCACGTCTTTTCGACATCATGTACTTCGCTCTCTTTAGGGTTCGTACTTGATAGCTCCGTGAAGCTCGACTAGCTGTCTCGTGTTCCACGGCAATGACAAGCGCTTCATCTAAAACTTTTGGTCTTGCTAGTCGTAAAGTTTCTGTTTTCTGTCTCTCAACCATTGATGAACGTATCTACAGCAATTTCTTCCAATATGTTGTCTGGTGCCTCTGGATAGGCCAACCGCATTATACGAGCAGCCTCTGCTTAAAACTCTTGCAAATTTTCACTTGCTCGTTAAATTCCACTTCTTAGTTGCGCCTTGTAGACTTGTTGTAGATGGGCATCTCCGTAACGTTTGTCTAGTCAAGTGAACAAGGTCTAATAACATTTTTTTTGACCCAAGAAATTGATCGTAGGATATCCGCAACATCACCTCGTAAGCAGCAGTCAAGGAAACAGCCTTTTCTTGTTCTATCCAATGATTAGCTGTCGCAATAGCTTTAAATTGTCTAAGGTATATGGACCAAGAGGACTTTCCATCAAATGGTGGCAATTTGAATCTCATATGATATGTCGTCTCTCGGTGATTCTTGTTTCATTACTTGGATCTAAGGCTACTGTATTAACTGGTGGTGGCATTTTCGTGTTAGTTATCGTGTTCTCTTATAGTTTGATCTTCTCTTCTACGTCTTCTATCTTGTCGTTTACATTTTTCTGTATAATTATTTGTGAAGTCTCGTTAAATCTTTTAGATACATTTTCGAATGTTTCATCGAATTTTTTGGAAACGTTCTCTAATTTATCATTTTTTCTAGAAGATTCGTCAATCATTTGCGAGATGTTTTCAAATTTATGATCATTTTTTTTAGAAGTTTCTTCAATCATCTGCGACGATCATTTTTTATTTTCGTTAAAACTACTTCTTCTGCTGACTGTAACTGGAATGTCTCTAGGTCTTCTCCGTTCTTGTTGAGAACAGCCTTCAGTCGTTCTTGGAGTATCTTCTTGGACCCGCTGCAGTCCTCATTGCGTTCTTCTAGTTACCCACGCAACTGTTTTACTAAAATTCTACTAGCAGCATCTTTGGTTAGGCACACAAGTACTTTTTAAATCTTCTTGCGTACAAGGATCACTACCAAACTACGGGATCTTTTTGCAGAGTCACTGCTGAATTTATTTTTAAATAAATATTTATCCTCACATCCGGACACCAACTGTAACGAGATTAAATAAATCGAGCGCAGCGGTTAGATTTTATATATAAATACATCTATTTGTTTATAAGTTTACAGTTCGGTAATATCTTAACACTAATTAACTGCTAGAAATAATGCTTATATATATATATCATATATATATATATATATATATAAAAGTGGTTATGTACTAGAATGTTCTGGAGTAGCTCACGTCTAATTCGCCTATTTGACGGGTTGATCTCTCTCGCACTCGATACATCGCGGGAAACTTCTTGTCGCTTTCGAGATGCAAACGTTACACGGACGATATTTGACTGACTTATTCGGGATGTACATGCGGAATCCGCAACGTCCATGGAATGCAAAAAGTATCTCGTCTAATGTGTAATAATAAGTAAGATCCAGGAACGTAGCTAAGTTTGCATTTCTGATTAAATTCGTCAAAACGTTTCTTATTGGTGCAAGATTATTTATGGTTTTTCTTTCTTTTCTAATATTTACGTCATCAAAACGCAAGCAACGTATCAAGAATACAAATCACCTATGAGCCATAGTAGCTTAAAATACCTATTATCCTGTTTCATCAGTAGCTCAAAATGCTTTGCAATTTCGGCGGCTTGCTTTGAAAACTCCACCTGGTGTAATAGACCAATAAACGCTTTTATTTTTACAATATCTCTAGGTCCGACTTTATTTAGATCTGCATAATGGTTTCTTAGTTTAGAAATAAATATGTTTGTGATTTGCACAATGGTTTCGAGAATATTGTCATCAATAAAACATTTCCAATACTCTAAAGGATCAACTGTTTGACGAGCATTTCCTTTTGAACCTAGTAAGTATGAAATTAAATTACAACTTCTTGGCCGAATATTTTTTGGAGGCGCATGTTTTCTCCATGATTTAGGTTTTGCAGGTTCCTCCCTCAATCCTTCCTCCAATTCTGTTTCCAATTCTTCCTCCCATTCTTCTTTTGTGGCTGTGTTGTGGTCACTCTCTTCACACCTGTCTGATTTTGGCTCGCTTTCCAAATCAATATTTTCTTCTTCTACTTCATCATAGAGCTGTTGTAATCTTTGAATTTCTTTCTGATATGGATTCATCACTGAAATCTGAAATACAAGAGAAAAAAATTAAAGGCTGGAACTTTACTATATTATTATATAACCATTGGAATTTAAATACTTACTCTATGTAGGTTATAGTTCACAAAACATATAAAAACCAATTAACTTGCCGAACTCACAAAAAGTACCGGAATAGTCGGGTAGAGTCTGACAGATCAAAAGTGCCAATAACTAGCGAATAAATTGTCGCTGGTCTCATAGGCCTTACCGACTACTCGGGATGAACAACTACTATTTTTAAGGAAATACAATGTTCTTTATTAACAAGAACTGCGAAACATTTCTGTTGTATTAAAAAAAGTTATGGATTAACGAATGAACAAAAATTTACTTTGTTTTAATAGAATTGATATAGAACCTATGTTAAATTTTACAGTATTTCAAAATTTTTGTTAGGAATGGCTCTTCAAATCTTTGCAACAGCATCTTTACTTAAATATTATTTTTTGCATTAATAAACATTTAAATTATTTTATTCCAATATTTTCAAACAAAAGCTACACCGCAACAGTATGGTATGATACTCATATTCATAGCTAAAGACATTCCAAACAGAAAAATTAAATACATTTTGCTTGCTTGCAACAACTTAAACGTTATTTTTATTTTAAAGTCATAACAATATTTAGTATTTTACACTACTCTTAGTAGGCTTTTGTATCTGTAATATACTGCTATTTTTATTTTAATTTGGAATGCTGTGTTGTCAAATTGTTGTCCTGTTTGTTAGATGCCTTGTAGCAGAATATTTGATGACATTTATTAATAACCGAATATTTCGTTAGGTGGATCTTAGGCATATGGATGAAAAAGTGGGCAGTAATACAGTTGACGTAGGAGTAGATTTGTCAGAGTTCTACATGAGTGTTGAATGGGATATTTTGGAAGTTCCAGCTGTAAGGTGAGCAGTTTTTTTATCATACTAATCGAATATTGTATTTTCATTGATTAGTTTTTGATAAATCGTAAAGTACTTTACAAAATTATAGATGAAAGTGCACATTAAGGCCTGTGCAAAGGCCTTAAAATAGTCTCTATAACTTATTACAACTTTTATTCATATACACTCCTCGTCATAGAAAACAGGCCACCCCAAATATTTAAAATATTTTCGAAATTATTATTTATTGCTACAAAATTAAGCATTTATTTTTTGTATATTGAATCAATAACTCGTTTAGTATAAAATTTTATCATTATCGTAAAACATCAATCGAAAATAAAAAGTTTAACAAAAATAGGCAATTATATTAAAAAAATCTACTTACAGTTTTTAAAACAGCAACGAACTGTATATTAACAAAATCTGGAATCCATTTTCAGTAATGACTATTGCCACCTCGACTCTGGATGACACTCCTCATTCGATTTGGCATGGAATTTATAACGTTTTGCATATCTCTTTGGGAAAAGTGGCCCATTCCTCAATGAGTGCCATCTAAAGCTTTCCAGGTGTTGTTGGAGCAGGTATGCAAAGCGTAACGCGACTTTTTAGCAGGCTCCATAGGATTTAAATCAGGGCTTTGAGCAGGTCAGTCTTTTTTGGAATACCAACCTCGTCAAGGTACTCCGTTACTATCCTTGCCGTGTGTGGTCTCGCATTATCCTGCATAGGGCATCACATGATGTTGTAAGATTTCCGTTATGTATCTTACTGCACTGTTAACGCACCTCTGTCGATCACGATGAGATCCGTATGCGAATTAAAAGAAAACCCTGCCCAAATCATTACTGTAGAATAGAAAATACTAAAACTTTAAATAGTAAGTGCCATCATAATGCAAGCTGCGCTTCAGATTTTATCTGAGTGGAAGAGAATTCCGAACAAGGGTGCGAACAAGGGTGAATGAAAGTAATTCCATTAATTTTCCTATAAAATCTAGTGTTCCACATTGCAGCGTTCTTGGACCAATATTATATATACTATACACAGCAGATCTACCCTCTACTCATGAAACCATTACTGCCACGTTTGCAGATGATGCTGTTATCCTTGCACCCGACGAAAATTCAATTATAGCATCTAACATTCTACAGGTACAACTGAATGAAATCGAAACATGGTCTTACAAGTGAAGAATTCAAATGAATGAAACAAAATCAGTCCAAGTGACTTTTACCTTGAGATGAGACCTGTGTCCGTCCAGTTTCACCTAACAATATCCAACTGCCCCAATCCTCTAGCACTAAATACTTAGGAATACATCCTGACTCAAAACTCACCTGGGAAGAAAATATTCTTAAAAAGCTGATACAAAAGAACCTAAGAATGAAAGATCTAAACTGGTTAGTAGGCAGGAAATCGAAACTAAGCCTTGGAAAACAAAATCCTTGTATATAAAACCGTCATAAAACCTATCTGACGTATGGAATCCAACTCTGGGGATGTGAGCAAGTCAAACACAGCCATAATTCAAAGATGCCAATCAAAAATACTCCAAACGATAGCTGATGCACCTCGTGTGTCAAACCTAACACTTCATGAGGACCTAATAATCCCGTCCGTACAGGATGTAATCACTAAATACAGCACGAAGCACCATGAAGCACTGGAATCATGAATCACATAGTAACCCTTTACTCCAACCTCTTCTAGAACACCAAGCCAATAGGAGACTCAAAAGAAACTGGCCAGCTGACCTGAAAAACAGTTATAGTGATTTTGTCACTGGAGAAGACCTCACCAAGCCAATAGCAAATTAGCTTATACTTTATTTGTGTCTTGATTGCTAAAGATTGTGTCATAATAAAAAAAAAAGATTTACGCCAACTGTAGGCGAAAAGCAAATTTCTGACTCACTTGCATTAAATCTGAGCACTTTTCGTGTAAAATATACTCACTTAATTCCTCTTAATGAGGACCCCCTCCCTCGCATCTCAAAATCAGCCCCTGTGGGTCTATATAGACCACTTGATAAATCTATAATCTAAATTACCTCAATTTTGCAGACTATTTGATTTTCTTGTAATTATTTAATTTCTTTTTCAGGAACGAAAAATTTTACACCTGCTGTGATGAACCATATCTAGACATAACTTTTAACATAACGATGAGGAGAAAAACACTTTTCTACACTGTTAATATTATTATTCCGTGTATGGGAATTTCGTTTTTAACAGTACTTACCTTTTATCTACCATCGGATAGTGGAGAAAAGGTAAGTCAAATTCACTGAAATGTTAGTCCCTTTTGAGCTAGTACACTAAACATTTTCATCTAATTACTGTAACAAACTTCATATATTATATAATAGCGCCTACAGACAAAGTGATAGTACGTTCTCTATAATTAGGCATCTATTAACAAGGACTAGGTAAACTTTTGTTGCATTATTTGTTGTACAATGAGTGTAAAATGAGTATTCAAGGAGTGTTGTTACGAGAGGACCTCATACAGAATATTTATACGTACTACTTAAGATAAATTTATCCTTCTTTTTGTTTTTAGGTAACATTATCAATATCTATTCTCATTAGTCTACACGTTTTCTTCCTCCTAGTAGTAGAAATTATTCCACCGACTTCGTTGGTTGTTCCACTTCTGGGAAAATATTTAATTTTTGCCATGATCCTAGTATCAATAAGGTAAGATTTTGTTGTAGGCATATTATTGTAGGTACAATATATTTAAACATATTTTAGATGTATCTGTAGAGTACTATAAGAGAGGAAATGGCACTATTAACTAACCTAATTGGTGAATTTGGGTTAAAACTGTTGCATAAAGTGCTAAAGCACATTATTTCATTTCTATTTGATTTTGTAACCATATTGTTATACATTAGCATTGTTACGATTGGAAAGTCTCACAGATAAATTCAAATAATGAATTTTAGTTACCGTTTTAATAAAAATTACTTGCATATTAAAATACATTAGTGATCCAGTGGTTCATCGAGATACTATTCTAGAAACATCTCCACCAAAAAAAAATACAAATTCTATCAGACATCACCATATTATCAAGCACTAAATTATGTGAATGTTCATCAATCAAAAACGGAATAAATCTATGAGTGTTACACTTGTCCCTCCAAAGATTTTGAGAACAATTGAAAGTAGCGAATATGAAGAGGACAGTGACACGATGATGAGAAAACACGCAAGATACCAATAAAACTAATAAAAAAGAGTGATCCGAAAGGAACACGGACGGTAGATGAACCTGCTAAAATTACTAATAAAACATCAAAAGTGGCAGAAAAGAAAAATATCAAAAATCCAGGCCTTATTTGGAATAAACAATTTATTCCAAATACTATTATTCCTTTCAATATAGAACATGGAACATTTGTTGAGAGTACAATAGAATATCCTCATAAAGTTTTTTTGCTCTTGACGAATGAAAATATACTGCAACATTTAGTGTTTCATACGAATTTGTATGCGACCCAGGGTATGTATTTGTATGCTATAAAGGGTCTTAAAAATAACAAAAGACCAGGCAACGATAACATATACGAGAAAGTATTGAAAATGCTGTGCGAAACAAACAGTCAATTTCTATACTCACTCGTCAGACTTTTTAACAATATTTATAACAGCGGGGAGTTTTATTTATTTCATAACAATATTATAAAAGCAAAGTCTTGATGATCAACATCGATGATAAGTCTAATTAACCACATTTCGAAGGCATATACCAAGGTTATTTACAACAGAATAAGCAAAAAATGCGAGGATAACATTAAAAATTCGCAGTTTGGGTTTCGGAATTCTCTTGGGACAAGAGAAGCACTTTTTAGTCTACAGGTACTCATCCAGCGCTGCTGGATGCATATGAACAAAGACGTGTACATTCGTTATCGAAAAGCATTCGATAATGTAAAGCACGAAAAGATAATTACACTACAATTAGTGTCAAACAGCTAAAGTGAAAGTAGGATCTACATTGACCAATAAAATTGAGATCAGGAAAGGGGTACGACAGGGCTGTATCTTGTCTTTATTTCTCTTTAACATATACTTAGAAGAAGTATTTAAGACAGTGCTGGAGGAAAGCACAGAAGGCATAAAGATAAATGGAGAAATAATTAATAACATAAGGTATGCTGATGACACTGTGATTCTAGCAAGTAGCATGGAGGAACTAAGTTGCCTAATGAGTAAGATACAAAAAACAAGTGCACAATACGGACTCAGACTAAATATCACAAAAACCAAATAAATGTTAGTAAGCAAAACCCAACAACCGCCACAGCAACTGATATTAGACAATGAAAGAATTGAACACGTGGATTCCTACATCTACTTGGGAACAACAGTTAACTCAAATTGGGATCAAGCGAAGGAAATACGTATAAGAGTAGAAAAGGCAAGAGCATCGTTTACTAGCATGAAGGAAATTTTCACCTCTAAAAGCATCACCCTACCTCTCAAAATTCGACTTCTAAAATGTTATGTATTTCCGTTTTTGTTATATGGAATGGAGGCGTGGACAATGACCGCAAAATTGATGAAAAAAGTAGAGGCCTTCGAAATGTGGGCTTACCAACGTATATTACGTATATCCTGGACTGAGCACGTGACCAACGAAGAGGTACTACGCCGGATAGGTCAAGAAAGAGAGGTAGGAATAAGTATAAAGAAAAGGAAGTTGGAATACTTGGGTCACGTTATGAGACATAATAAATATAGAGTACTACAGCTGATCGTTCAAGGGAAAATAGACAGCAGAAGGGGTCCAGGGAGGAGAAGACACTCGTGGCTCCAAAACTTGCGGCAATGGTTCGGATTGTCATCTGCTGAACTATTCAGATCTGCCGCAAACAAAGTCAGAATAGCCATGTTGATTGCCAACGTTCGGAACAGACAAGGCACAAGAAGAAGAAGAAGATGCGACCCAAGAAGGTAAACCGTTCAAGCCAACATCCAAACACGAAATTTTACAATTTTTAGCTGTAAATATCCTTATGGCTATCAAGTAATTACCTAGCTACAGATATTACTGGTCCTCACAGAATATTTTGAGAGATAAGTATATTTCGAAAATAATGAATAGAAACAGGTTAAGTTGGTTACTTGGGCATATTCATTTAAATGATAGTTCCCTTCAGCCTGATAGAGGAACTCCTAATTACGATAAGCTTACTACTACAATAAAATACGTCCGATTTTAGTAGAGCTACTGGAATACTTTCAGCAGTACTACAAGCCAGAAGAGCATCAGTCTATCGATGACAGTATGATTTGTTTCAAGGGCCGTTCCACTTTGAAGCAGTATATGCTCAAAAAACCCTATAAAAAGAGGGTACAAACTTTGGGTACGTGCTGATGCTGTGACTGGATATGTTCACGAGTTCCAAATATACACTGGCAAAGCAGAACAACGTACAGGTGGAAACTGGTTTAGGTGAACGTGTTGACAGGTTTATTTTGACAACTATTTTTCGACGGTATCTCAAGTAAGGAGAACATTGATGCACGTGGCTGATCCTGCTAATTTGCCACAAGGTATTGTAGACAAAAAATAGATAGACCGAGGAGAAACAGATTGGCGGCAGGCTTCCAATAAAATGGTCTTCACTAGGTGGAAAGATAAGAAGAGGATCAATTTTTTGTCCAACTTTCATGATCCTACTGAAATGGTATCTGTCGAAAGAAGACAGAAAAATGGTTCCAAAGAAAATGTGGCTGAACCAACAGTTGTAAAAGACTACAAAAAATATTTGGGTGGGTGGATAAGGCTGATATGCTGAAGAGTTATATGAAATAAATACAAAAATTAAGAAATGGTGGCATCGCATTTTTTTCCATTTCCTTGATTTAGCAGTAACTAATGCGTTTATCATATTTAAATGTAGAAGTCCAGGACGTGCATTATCATTGAAAGAATTCCGATTAGCCGTTGTTACAGGTCTTATTGGTGCTAATACAGTTACTCCAAAAAAGGACCAAAACATGCAGTAAATAGTTTCAAAAAATATGTATTTATTGAAGTTAGATACGATAGAGTGGCTCATTTACCTCTTCATGGAACATCAAGAAGATGTGGGTTACGCAGTACAACCGCAAAGGTTTATCGGACTCGTTGGTTTTGTCAAACATGCGATATTGGCCTGTGTTTATCTGACAATATAAATTGTTTCCAAAAATTCCATAACCTTGAGTAAGTGACTTTTGTGTCCCAGTGGTTTCACAGTGAAACCATACTTTTTTGTAATATTTGTTACGATTAAATTTAAATTTTCAGAAATAGTGTTGATTTAATTAATTAAGTTTTCGAAATTTCTTTTATTTTAGAAAAAATGAGAAAAAAACAATGTGGGCCGCAAAGAGTTAAGTCAACTAACTGAAAGTCTGTGTTGAAACGATGTTTCTAGCTAGTTACTTTCTGCAGGCAAACATCTTAAATTATTAATGAATTTGGTGAAAAAATGTCAATTTTGATCATTTTTGTACTTAGTGAGTCTTACTTGTCAACTGACGATATAATGTACAGTAATATATAAGGTAATAATGATGCACAGCTAAAAACCATGCACTTAACTCTAACTATTTACCAGTTTTTGGCTTGAGAGACGAAGTTAATGTGACGTACTCATTAGGGAAATTTTAAGTACACATATTAAGCGTTCATTAACTCAACAAGCATAATTACATGCCATTTATTTGTTTTTCATTGAAAAAGAAGAATTCTCAGAATTGGGGCTATCTTTGTGATAGTCCACTTATTTTAATCCAACAAACCTGTAGAAAGCGAATGACTTACTGAGGTTTGCTTACTAAATGAAAAATGAGTTCGTTCGTTTAGAAAAACTGTTTAAATATTATTAAAGAAACTATTCGTGCAGCAGTATATTTCATCCCTCACTTCCTTGTCGTTACAATTAATAAAGTTTCTTTGAAACAAACTTAAAACAAGGTAGACGAATTTGAAAGGAAAACTTAAATCAGATTAAAGATCTGTTCTATCTAAACTCCGGGTTTTCATAAAACCAGCCAAAATTAAGTTAACCTGTGCAGGATAGCGAAGCTTGAAATATATACAGTTTTTATCGCCTTATAAGACGAGCTTTGTAATAACGACGTGATGTAGTAAAATAGTAGATCAAAACTTTATCGCACTCGATAAAATATCAAATTAATTTGATGGTCGTCGTACACCGCTTTTAATTTTCTTAAAATCAAATAATAAAACACGAATAATATAATCAAGATATACAATAAAAACCAACAGGGACTTTTGAACTTTGACAATTAGTAGCGGTATTATTGTAGAAGCTTCATTTGTCAAATTGGCTATATTTCATTCAGACTGTTTTTGCCAAATCACCGATATAGGTCAATAATTAACTTATTTTGGTCCGAATTGAATGATGTCAAAGATGTAGAGATGTGAATTGTGATATATATGTGTGTTTTGTTGATTACCAGAAAGAGTTCGATAGAATAAATTATGACGAACTGATGAAAATATTAAATTCAATTGGTCCAGACAGCAGAGATCGCCGTATAATAAACAATATCTATTACGAACAAACTGCAGCTGTTAGAGTTGGGGATCAGTTAACAGACGACATAAAGATAAAAAAAGGTGTGCGACATGGATGTATATTGTTCAATACATATTCATGTACATTATGAACCTAGCGCTAACGACATAGACGAGAAATACTTATAACGAAGAACGATTGAACAGCATAGATACGCTGATGATACTGTCATTTTTGCGACAGTCTTGAAGGTCTGCAAACACTTGCTCCATTGTGAAGAATAGTAGCAGATTTGGCTTGATTTTAACATCAAATAACCAATACATGGTTATAAGCAAAATAGATACCACTGCTTAATTATAGTTACCAATAACCTATAACACAAACCCCAACTTTGTTATCTGGGCAACTTAATGAATAGGACCATCGACGAAATTAAGATAAGGATCGAGAAAGCAGATCACTTTCGTCAAAATGAAAAAACTGTCCATTCGACATTCTCCACGAACGATCAGAAGGACACTAAGAGGATATTGGCACCTAAGTGGAAGTGGTATGAACCGGCCCCGAAGATTTATATCCCGTTTCAGTGGACAGATATAATTGCAAAAGCTAGAGTTAAAAAGCGATTTAAAGTTAGTCATCAAAAATTTTTAAAAAATTTTATCAACGTAGAAAATGTAGTATGAAAAGATCCAAAGTGTGAAATAGCTAAGTCAGTGTGGATACAAATTAGCTCAGATGAACCAAATTTTATACGGTTAAGAAAATCCCACAAAACTGTTCAACTTATGATCATCTTATTCTTTAAAGTCAACTAAAACGCCTATAACTGAAGTCACTATTACTGAACTTACAAAAGCCTATGTGAGCTACTACCAATTAAAAAGAAAAAAACATTCCAATTTATTAAATATTGCCGAATATATTCCACTACAGTATGTAAGCTACTATCAAAATCTTAAGAGTACTAATCATATTACGCTCATCATTTTTTTTTTCAAAATAATCAATTATAAGGTGTTTTTTTAATTTATTGACAAAATGTGATTTGGCGTTTACAATGTTATTCCAGCATAGCATTCAATTAATGAAAATTGATATGATTCTTATGAAACAACACATAATTAATAAACTAAGAGTATTATCACAGAAAACTATTGACAGTCTTTATATAAGATATGGTAAATCCATAATTAAATATCTGTTCATTTTAAAAAACTATATCATAGTGTATCATAACACAGCCCAACAGTCATTTTGGTGCCAGTGAGATTCGATCATAAGGGTTCAGTAAGTATCAGAAATTTCGTTTATATGATCGTTACTTCCAAATATCTAAACCAAGATTGTTTAATTTTAAGTGTAATTTCAAAATTTTGGTTTTGGTCAGTAAAAATATTTTCTTTACTACTCCAATTAATAAAACTATACAATCGATTAAAAAAACAGAGCAGTTACTCATGTTTTTCTCTCAGTTACTCAAACAGAGCAGTTACTTATTTTCAGAACAAACAACAACTTAAGCAAATATATTACAAATAACAAGAGCCAAAAGAAAAGCACGTAAACAGTGTTGTCTACAAACTTACATGTAATGATTTACCAAAATCTTACATTGATCCAACTGCTACAACCTTTAACACACGAATAGCACAACACAAAATGGCTTTCAATAGCCAGGAAGCGTTGAAAACAAAAATGTTTATTGTTAGATAAAATGAACCTCTATCAAGTAACGATCGAACCCATCACTGTTTTTCACTTTGTTGGACTGTGTAGTAAGTCAAATTGAAACAGATTGTTTGATATAATATATATATTTTTTTCAGTATATGTGTCACTGTGGTGGTTTTAAACGTTCATTTTCGGTCACCCCAAACCCACAAGATGTCTCCGTGGGTGAAGAGAGTTTTTATACATATTCTACCTAGACTTTTAGTAATGAAACGGCCTACATATATTTTCGAAACTAGAAGGTGAGATTAAGTATTACATTTTTTATTTTTTTTTTTTTTTCTTATACACTCAGATGCAAAAAATTCAACCGAGAAATTTTTATCAAATTCAAAGTATTTCAGTTTTTTTATTTTTAGTGGTTTAAAAAAAAAACAAGATCACGTCGTAACTTTTAATCATTATTTAAGTAGATTGCTTCTGGGATGTCGATATGATATTCTTTCAAAATCAGTCACCAAAGCTCCCATCGTCGTATTACAAATTAATACAAAAGATAATGGTAATAATGAAAAAAGTCGTAAATTGTGGGTGGCAAAATCATTTCGTTTCTAAAAATAAACCAATCCATATTTTTACATAAAACAAAAAACATAGTACTTAGAAGACATGTTCTCAACCGAAAAATAAGATTTTATGAAAATCCGCTAACGGAATTATGCCACAGGATGTGTCAAAGTAAGGATAAAAAACCACTTTTCGATTAACCCCGTATAAATGTCAAAAACAAAATTTTATTAAAAAACTCACTATACCAAATTAATATTTATTAATTTTTACATAGTGTGCTCAAAAAGTCATCAAAATACGGCTAAAAATAAAAAAACTTAAATACTTTGAGTTTGACCAAAATTTTCCCCTTTGCTTTTTTTGCATCTGAGTATATATGCCATATTTGAATACTCAAATATCAAGATAATAAAACAAAAACATATTTTAAGCAAACATACATAAAATTCCAAATCCCTTCGCTGTTCCTTTCCTAGCCATTAACCAACGCAGATTCCCTGTGCGCGAGTTACATAAAAATATTGAAATATCCCTTTCGCGAGCCAATTGTTTATAAACCAATTGTCCTTTCGAAATTGTTGCGGAATAAATGGCTGGTGAATTTTCACACTTTTTTCCTTTTTCTCCATGTATACTGTATCCGCATACATGTATTCCGCATGTAGAACGATTTAAATCTGTAGTGGTTATATTGTAGAAATATTTCATTTCTGATAGCGATATAAATATTTTCCTTCGCGCTGAATTTTTCAACGAACTGAAATAGTTATGGAGCCAAGGATGGATTTATCTCAATTCAAAAAATATATGCATAACTCTGGAGAGTCTCTTAATTATAAATATAATAATTAAAACTTACTAATAGACTGACATGCTCTATGTATACCTAAGTATCAAAGAGATGTTTTCTTTTTTTAATAGCATTGACATGAGTCATTCAGCCAGTGTTGCAATAGATTCTCCAATCAGACAAATGCACAACTCTATCCCTAATAGAAAACTAACGGATAATTAATAGAAGAATATATGACAAGGAAACCTGCAATGTCACTTGCTTCTCGTCTAGGGGCCCATCAAGACATTCTTAGTAGACAAACAAAACTGGACCACGGATAAGGTGTTATAACATTTAAGGTAAACAAAGGATACAAATCTAAATTTCCACACGATCATGAAAAATTTCATGCTTGCGTACGAATTCTATGGAACCGTGCATGGGTCTGACAAGAAATCTATAATGATAATATATTTTTTGTGAGCCTGTAGCCAGTAGCGACTGGATATTGAATGGTGCATACATATTAAATTCGATTAATTTTTTGTAGAGAGAGTTTGAATGCTGTTGAAGCTTGGGACATTCAAAAAAGATGTGATAAAGATCACCTAGTTTTCCGCAATATTTGCAATTATCATCTTCAATCACATTTATTTTATATAAATTACTTGGATAGCACACATGTCCAAAGCGTAGTCTATTTATGGTGATTATATATTTACGTGGAGATTTAAAATTCTTAAACCAAGTAGTTTGTGAAATAACTGATTGTAAAGTGGTATATCTTGTTTCGTATGTAAAGTAGTAGAGATTCCATTGATCTTTCCATAGCTGTTTTTTTTTTAATTCTAATGGCATCTGATACACATAAAGAATATAAGAATAAAGTGCCTGATATTATACTTTATGTCCAATATGTGCCTTAACCCCAATAAATTTTATATTAAAGCCAGAGTCTGCTAAGTGCTTTATTGATCTTTTATTAAAAAAATATAAGGATTACTAAATATTTTGGACAAAAAAGTGTTTTTTATGTTCTATAGAACTGAAATACACTCTGAAAGAATTAACGATTTTTTAATATAAGAGTTTTTAACATATTTCAAAGCTTCTAGTATGGCCAATGATTCCGCCGAGAAAATTGAAAACTTATTGGAAAGTTTGTACTTAAATTCAGAACCTCCTGAGGTAAAAAATAGGCACAGCCAGTCCCTTCTATTGATTTGGATGCGTCCGTGTATATAACTGTGGCATCACTATAACAGTTCAAAACACATTTCAGAATATTGTTGCTCAATTTGTTGTTGTCACTATAAGTGGAAGCTTCATTCAGCTTTATGGAAGAGAGCAAAGAAGTCTAAATTTTTTTCCACTTTGGCCAAATTCTTTGAAAAAATTGAATTGTTCTGTAAAGCAGTGCACAGAGGTCGAGACGGCTTTTTAATCAAATATTTGTGAGTTAGATCTGATTCGTTAAGTTATCGTATACTGAAAAATAATTTGGGATTTATTGAGTGGGCTTTGAGTACCCATTTTTCGCTTAATAAATTTCTTCTAATCGAAAGAGGAGGCTCATAAGCTTCAACATGCAGTGGTTGTATAGGGGTAGATCTCGTAGCACCTAAACAGACCCTTAAGACAGAATTTTGAAAAATGTCAATTTTTCTTAGAATATAGCTAGATGCAGAACCGTAAAGAGTAGCACCAAAAGAATGTTCAACAATGCAGAAGTTATATTTATTATAAAGGTTATTATCATTTTTAAAGAGTGATCCAGTGTAGACTGGATCTTAAAGAAACAGATCTAAAACCTATTAGATCAAAAACACAATACTATCTGTATGAATACACAAGTCTATGAATACTAATAAATTTCTTTTTTATGGTATCGAAGCTTGGACTGTTAATGTTGACTTAATGAGAAAACTAGAAGCTTTTGAGATGTGGCATTTTAGGAGAATTTTGAAGATACTATGGACCAGCTGCCTTTCCATCCTGCATTTGTCTGACGGCTGATCTTCAACATGGCTGATATTATTAATATATTTATACCAATTTCGGCATCGTCTACTGCTTCTTTGAATGTGCCTTCTCGTAATTTATGAAGCATATATGTATATATACTTAATTCTGCTGATCAAGGCATTTCTCAAGTAGAGTATGTATTGCAAAAAGAGGTTCTCTTGTCAGCAAGACCTTTTAAATCAAAATTCGAGACCTGTATGGTCTTCAATAATATATTTAGTACATTAATTAAGCTAATGGGGCTAAATTCGTTCTATTTTCGGTAGTAAATTGTTTTTTGTTTTAAAGAATTATGATTTAAGTCATTTCTTTGGTGTTACGAGAATTTCATAGAAGATTACAAATATCGGTAGTGTTATACCGTTATCATCCCGTAGTTTTATAATATCAATTTTATTTGATCTGGGCCATAAGCTTTCCTATGCTCTGCACATTAATCTCACGTTTGATTTATGTCTGTGATTAGAGGTTCTTCCACTTTCCACGTCGGCATTTGTTGCAATTCCGGTCTATTAACTGCGAATTTTTTATAAATGTCTGTCTTATTTTCGCCTTTCGTCTTCTCTATATAATTTTTTTATGTTGCTATCAGTTACAGAGGTGTTACTACAGGAGCTTTTTTATATTTTTTTATGGAGCTTGTATTCTATATAGATCTTCCAAGGCATTTCGTTTATCCAATTTTCCTGAGCTTCTTTCATTTATATTATATAATTATATATAAGTTAGTTTTTTTGATAAATAATGAATTTTTTTTAAATACCCTACACAAAAAATAAGGTTATCTGTATCGTTATCTATATATTTTATGTGTTTCCTTTTTCAGTAAATTTTTATCCAGTCGATTTGTCTCTAGAAGTAGACAATACTCAACCTGCCTATACCCTTATCGGACGACAGTCCAATCAGATGACAGTCCGAAAAGAAGATACCTAACAAGTAGAACTCCTAGTAAGGAGGATTTATCTCCGAGGTAAGTGCTTTTTTGATTTTTTATTTTAAGAACAATTACTTAAAGACACACTTCAAATAAAATATTCAAAGTATCAAAACGAAGAAGCATCAAAGAAATAAAAAAAATGAGAACAATAGAAAATAAAAAATAAAACTATTTATTATCGATATCAATTTATTTGTTGCTAAAATGCTAATAATTAATAATTAATACGCTTTTACGTACATTTGAACCTATTTTTATAATATGTTTTCTACTGTGTACAGATCACGATATTGCTTTATTGTCCATACAACACGATGGCAATCGCTGCGACATGACTACACGTTTCCACATGAATATAGAGGTGTAAACGTTTAACATGTCACAGCAATTACCATCGTGTTGTATGGTCAATAAAACAATGTCGTGATCTGTATAATTATAAGATACCTACTATTTGTATGACGGATATATTGAATTGAATTTGCTTATGTTATAACTTACAGATTGACCGATGGAGGTCCTTTCGGAGGAAGCTGCCAAATTCATGGTCCTCTCACTGGTGCTTTGCCATTGACGGACGCAGAAGACGAAAGTGGCCTTAAGAGTCCCGTTCTTCACAATCCTGCTTACTCACATAGTAGGTGTCCCCCAGAAATACACAAATCTTGTTTCTGCGTGCGATTCATAGCAGAACATACAAAAATGTTGGAGGATTCGACAAAGGTTAGAAACAATTTGTTAAATATTGTGTTTTCTTATTTCGACATTAATATTATTGTTTAGGGATACAATAACACTTTATGTTACAGTATTTTAGTCTAAAGTAGATAAAAGATCATAAAATTGTTTGTTATTTATGTAAAAGAATAAAATCTTCAATAAACATTTTATGTCGTAGGTAAAAGAAGATTGGAAATATGTAGCGATGGTCCTGGACCGTCTTTTTCTCTGGATATTTACGCTGGCTGTACTTGTAGGTACAGCTGGTATTATACTGCAAGCTCCAACTCTTTATGACGATAGACAGCCCATTGATAAAAAGTTTTCTGAATTTGCTACAACAACAGTAGTTCGTTGCCCCCCTCCGATATGAACGGGCGGTTTACCGGTTCAGTTCATTGCAAAAATCTAATAGAATTGTAATATGATGAATTGTTTCGGATGTGAAACCATCTTCAAAAAGTAAAAAAAGAAGAAAAAAAACGGTTTTGTGCTTTACAAATTTAGCTCAGCATTGGATCCACGACAAAAAGGTTACTTAACCACTAAAAATGAGAGAAAGAATGCTACAGTTCTTACAGTATAAATGATACCGACTTTTAGCCTATAATGAACCAAATTTAATAAACTTGTACAATTAAAACATGTACATACGAGGTCTGTGTGTAAAAATTATTCTACAATCGAATGCTTTCCTTCAATATATTCCACATCCCTCGTCACACACCCTTCCATGCGTTTTTTCCATTGGTTAAAGCAATGCTGGAAGTCTTCTTTGTTAGAGCTTTTAGGAGCTCCGCCGTTTTTAAAAAGTCACAAGGTGCTAAATCAGGCGAGTACGGCGGGTGTTCGAGCACTGGAATGACTCTAGCGACTAAATAACGCTTCACAGACAGCGCGTTATGGCAGGTGCATTGTCCTGGTACAAGACCCACGGATTGTTTTTCCACAACTTGGACCGCAGCGTTGCCAAAACATTCAAATGGTAACTTTGGTTTACAGTTTGACCCCCTGGAACTCATTCAGTCATCACGATGTCGTTAATGTCGAAAAAAAACGATTAGCATGGCTTTAAATTTTGATTTCAATATCCTTGCTTTTTTCATTCTTGGCGATGTAGGAGTTTTCCAGTGCATGTATTGTCGCTTAATTTCAACATCGTATTTGAATATCCAGGTTTCAATATCCAAATGTTTTCCATTTGTAACATGTGACTATTTCTTCTTGATTTGTCGTGATTATTAAAGTGTCAGATATCAGATATCAGCATATCTCAAGTTACTGATTTTTTGACCTCCCATTTCCGCTAGTATGGACCATATCTGCTGCCGTTTGACTTTATCGAAGGCCTTTGTGTAATCCACAAAGTACATAAGCATAGGAGTATTGAATTTACGAGTTTTTTCGATTAGCTCTCTGACATTAAAAATGTGTTCTCCTTTCCTAGGACAAATCCCGCTTGTTCTTCTAATATCTGAGGCAATAGAAAAACTTTTAGTCTTTTATGTATTACATGAAGTAGAACCTTACTTGCATGGGATATTAGGGTTACCGTTCTGTAGTTGCTGCAATCTAGCGGAGTTCCTTTTTTGAACATAGGGATGAAAGTGGTTGTTGTCCCGTCGTTGGGTCACTCTCCGGTTTCCCAAATCTTTTTGCAAATAATATGCATAACATTTACTTCAACATCTCCAGTCTCTTTTTAAACTTCTGGTGATCTGGTCTGCGCCACGACATTTTCTGTTTTTTAACTTTTTGATTGCTTTTTCTACCTCTTTAGAATGTCTGGTTCTCTCTCTGCAGCGAACTCGTCGTGATATGCATTATGTGGATCATCTGCATATAGACTTTGACAATATTTTCTCCATACCTCTGCAATCCCTTTCTTATCATTTATAATATGTTGGTTTTGATCCATTATTGTTTGTGTGATTGGTTTAATTTCCCTGGGTAGATATCAGACTTTGTTATATAGCTCATTGCTATATAGCAAAGTCTGCATGTCTTCCCGGCATTAGCAACACTTTTAGTAGCCGATTAAGTAACTCAAAAATTATTTAGAACCCATCTACTAAATCTCTACAAGCTGGTCCTGTGTTTCAGAATTTTATAAATAAATGGTAGATGTATTACCAATATAAGCCAATCGCCTGAAATACGGTTGGTTCATGACAGATGGCTTCAGAAAAAAAAGGGTATCATTCTACTAGAAACACAATGTTGTTGTTGTTGTCGGGACATAAAACAATTGTTTAAGCAACTCTTAAAGTTGTTGTTTCACTCGTATGTCTAATAATTTTAGGTTTAAATGTTAGTTATCTTTATTTTTCAGGCACAACATTAATGACAATTTATTGAAGACACATAGAAAAACAGACAAAATTTATGTGTACATAAAGAGAAGAAGAAAAAATAGTACTGTTTTTTTGCATGTGAAAAATTAAGTAACATTTATATTCAATTTCGTTAAAAAAAGGGTTAATACTGGCATTATGGATACTATAACAAACTGTAGCATTTCTTCTCTTCTTTGGTATTTAAAGTTAAGGGGTGTATCTGGTGATGAGCTGAAATGTAGAGCTGGAAAACGGTCGTCTAGATTACAGCAAAACCTCTATCTCTGTAAGTCTCTTTTTTATTTAATATTTTAAACACTACTGAACGTAAACAAGTGTGCTAATACAAGAAAATAATACCATGTTATAGTAATGTCCATCTACTACGTTTTTTGTCAAATATTACTTGACAAAATCACATGAATTAGTTAAACTTAAAACAAATGATTATTTTTTTAGTCAAAACGTGTAAGTAAATACAAACACACAAGAAACCATTTGCAATTGGTTTTTGTTATTTTGTTCTGTAAAACGTGCATTTTCTTTTCAGCCATAAATTTCTTTTAGTTCTGGAATGAAAACATTTTACATTCCTAACCAAACACTCATTTCTTACACATTTTTCGGAGATTTCTTTTAATAATTATAAATGTACCGTTTAGAAATATTTTATAAAAATTTGAGAAGAATTTTATTTACTTATTTTCGACATTTTTTAACTGATAATTAAAAAAGACGTAACATGATTACGTTTCTGAGTTCTGATGCAGAACTTCTAGAAATGCTTTTAAGCCCAAATTTAATCAGTTAGCGTATTAGAGGATGTTTAGATAACGGAAAGAAAAATTTTTAATAAATATCTCAAATTTACAACGTTTTTATTCTCTATATTTTTAATATGATATTTATGTAATAATTCATTGATATATCTAACTGTAACTAAGCAAGAAAAAGTAAAACTATTGTACACAACATTTGTCTTAATGGCATATTAGACCAGAGAAGTGAGAATTTATTAACCCTTTATCACTCGCACCTCAAAAAATTACGCCATCACTCGCGTGTTAGATTTTATCTAGCATATGGGTATAGGTCAAATAAATAAGTCATCAGTACTTATTGGTTAAGTTTATTGGTCATTAACTCACAAAAAAACGATAAACTTATTTTTTAAAACAAAATTTCAAAAAAAACTACTAGATAAACTAAAAAAATATACACATTGCCCTAGAACAAAACAAATAAGGGGATTTATTCCAAAAAAAAATGTACGCATTACGCATAAACTTTGTATTCTTCCTCTTCTAGACAGTGGGGGGCAAGTAAAATTTTGTTAAACCAGTGTGCTTTTTACATATTGCCATGTGCCTTGCATTGCCATCAAACGCCATGTGCCTTGGCAACATGGCGTTTGACGAGAGTGTTTATAAGGAACTAGATCGTCTAAAAAAGTCCGATTTAATAGAAATTTTAATATCTAAAAAGGTGCCAGACTCGTTAAAAGTGAGTGAAAGTATTAAACAACTGGTGGAATACAGGGAGACTGATAAGTCCGCTGAAACTGGTGTGATCAACAGTGATAATCTCGAGTTGAGGTTAGAAATCAATAAGATTACTTGTGATCTAAAATGTGCTAATATTGAAAGTCAATACTTGAAAGCTTTAAACAGTGAACTTACTAAAGGTAACCAACGTCAGGATGAAATAATATATTTTGTTAAAATCGAAAAATATTCCTTTAAATGCACCTTCTAGTTCGAACGTTGCCAAATCTTCAGACAAAACAGTTAAATCTCATAATACTAATGTCTGCAAATCTACGGAGAAAGAAGACAATCGTGAAATTAAAAACAATCATAAAACTTTACAAAAAAAAGAAGCTAAATGTAAGTCAACTACCGTCTCTACATCGATGCCTCAACCATCCAATAAGAAAAATGATCTTATCACGAAACAAGAAAAAATTTTGACGTCAATAGTTTCCCTAGGAGAAGGCAGCTCTTCAGACAACGGCAGATCGGAAGAAGTTCGTCATAGAAGCAGAAGACAGAGACAAGCTATTGTAGGTACAAGTACAAATACCACGATAAAAGGTACTCCAAAATTTGTGGATCTCCACGTATACAGAATAGAACCAACTGCAACAGCGGCTTCTATTGTACAGCATCTAAAGCCTCATTTTCCAGAGGTCATTTGTGAGGGGATGAATTCCCGTCATCCTGAATTATATGCATCCTACAAAGTACGGATACACCAAGAACACTTCAAGAAGGCAATGGATCCTGCAGTATGGCCTAAGAACGCTTGTGTAATTAGTTTTTTATACCTGCGGGGGCAACCTCAAAATCAGGGGTAAGTTTTAATCCAAATTTAATGCTGTTAAATATTCAAAGCATAAATAAAACCATCGCTGTGTAGTGTTAAAAATTTTTTTTTGGCACATGATACAAGTACACACTTATTTCCATCGTTACCATATGCAAACATTCTACTACATAAAGGTCTTCCTTTTACGTTTGTCAACTTAGGGGAAATTTTTTCAGAAGTACTCAGAAGTACCTATCGTTGTCAAGCAATCATCGTTCAATAAAGAGTTGGATAAGGATACAGAGGAAAAGTAATTATCCTTAGTTACATTTCAACCGGTTCCACTTATGGGTCGTATAAGTCTAGATGCATCGTTAGGTAGTTGATATGATGCTTTAGGTTGTTTGCCGGGGTAAATTTCAAAATTTTGTGTGAAAAATGTACTAACGTTTACCAAGCCATAAATCTTGATTTCGTATTTCGCTGGCTTATTGGCTATATTGCTGCCTAAATTTGCATGGACCACAGAACGCTTCTAACATTACATCTATGGTCACATAGAATCCAAGAGTGTATGCAGATAAACAGTTAGTGATAAACATTTTATATATTTCTCGAATGGGTGCAAGATTATCAACTGCCGAATTTTCTTGTCCCTTAGTGATGTCTTTGATTTATATATTTTACAATATTATTAATTATAGCATCCGAAAAAAATAATTTCCGGCAT